CCCACTTCCTCTAACTGGACACATGTTTCCCTCACTTGCTTCTTAGTACCGCCCATGTAAGATGGAAGGACAAACTGTGAAGAGAGAGGAACCAAGTTTTAACCGACCTGACACGTCCTCGCCTCTGATCCGTCCAATCACAAACTGATTTCAGAGAAAGGGGTGTGTCAGTCTGTAACAGACTTCCATGAAGCCGACACTCGTGTGGCAGACCAGAACAACCCCTGGGTCAAGTGAGGATTGAGGAAGGATAAAATAAAGGAACTCTGCAGCTCTATGGAGCTTTTCAGCCTCTTTTAGCTCCTGGTTTTGGTATTGGATGGTGGAGACCAAGCACAGAGCTAACAGAGAGGGACAGCTGGACTGAGATTCATCAGGTGGAATCAAACACCTGTCTGCTCTGTGGCCAGTCTCAAAACTTTATAAGGTCATTTTTGTTAGAGGTTTGTGTGTGTCAGCTTGTTGTGGAGCTTTTGTGCCCCCAAAGAACCAAAAATCATTAATGCACAAAAAAAGAACAGCAATTTGTCCCACTGACTGAGATGATAAACAATTGAAACAACCACGGTGCAGCAGCAGCAGTAGCAGACAAGTTCATTTAGATAATCAAATGTGACAGAAGTTTTTTTTGTTATTTTAAAATGAAAAACAGTGCCAGCATTTGGCCGCTTTCTGTGAAGGCTGTTCACATTTTTGGCACTAAGTCAGATGACAGTCAGACACTTTCTGTGCGTGAGTGATTTCTTCATCCTTGCATCTGATCTGAATCTACTCCACATCCGCTGATTTCTCACGCATCAGCAGTTTGTCGTCCTGTGTTGACAGAGATGAAAACAGCAGATCAACTTCTGCAGCACTGAAGACATTCGAAATCAGAAATGTGGAAACCCACAGTGCAGTGTGTCTATGAGTCTGCGTGGCAGAGTGCCGTGTGGCACAGGGCTGGTGAAGATGATGTCAGACCTCCTGGTGTTCCTCGGCTATGGTGGCTGCTGCTAGTATTTTAATTTGCTGTCTTCAGTCAGAATAAAAAGATGACGGTAAACCCAAATGCCAACTTCCCGAGCCCTGAGTGAACTACACACACACGCCACAGTTTTAGGTGTAGCTGGTCTAAACTTTGCTCTTCTCCTCTCCTCGCAGCTCCATTTCCCTCTGCCTGAGTTCATTGTGGCCATGGGCTTCTTCCTGGTCCTGGTCCTGGAGCAGATCGTCCTGGCTTTTAAGGACCAGTCATCCTTACACGTGGAGGAGCACCGGGCTCTGCTGGTGGACCCCAGCATCCAGGCAAACAACAGGAACGGTCGCCATCATTCCCATCACTACCATCATGGAGCAGATGACAATGGCACCCACTTCCGCATTGACTATAGCTCTCAGTCTGCCCTGCGTGCCTTCATCCTGGTCTTCTCCTTGTCTTTGCACTCTGTGTTTGAGGGGTTGGCAGTGGGGCTGCAGGAGGAGGGGAAGGAGGTGCTGGAGATCTGCCTGGCGCTGATGATCCACAAGAGCATCATCTCCTTTAGCCTGGCCTTCAAGCTGTCGCAGGAGCGGCTGGGGGGGCGCAGTGGGGGGGCGGGGCGCGCCG